GGTTAGGGTTTAGGGAGTTAGGGAGAGAAGTCTGCGCTTTAGGGTTGAGGGCTTAGCGACCGACTTTTATGACATCAACACCGAAGACCTTGATCAATGCGACAAGTTTAGACGTACGCCGTGGTGTATAAACTGAAGTGGCTACAACGATCAGATGAAGAGCAGAAGCATTGACAGCAAATAGTCCTTCATGGCAACAACGGAGCAGATGATCTTGTATATGATGAGGCCGCGACAGGGCTATCAACCCTTTAACCCTATGGGTCCAAATCCCTTAAAATCATGCACTGTCCCAGATACTAACCCGCAGAACTTCAATCCTAAACTCGAGTAGTGTAGGGGCCTTAATTATAAGAATAGGGTTTTGGGGTGTAGTATACTATAAGTAAAATAAGGAACCCAAAAGTCATAATGGTAATTATTTACGGGCCTACATTACCCACCACGAAACGTACAAACCTCTCACACCCTGTCCAAGTAAAGAAACGTTAATAAGTAGGTCATAGATGTAGCTTTCTAGTTGAGTACCACAGAATGCTTGCCTAGAAGCTAAACCCTAAACCCTAAACCCTAAACCCCAAACCCTAAACCCTAAACCCTAAACCCTAAACCCCTAAACCCTAAACCCCTAAACCCTAAACCCTAAATCCTAAACCACGTAGGTCAGCAAACCTCGCCTTCCAAGATGAAGTCCTGTCCCATGTCCCTCTAAGCCCTAAACCCTTGAACCCTAAACCCTTAAACCCTAAACCCAGGGTTTAGGGTTTAAGGTTTAGGTTTTTTTTTGTTGAGCACCTTTTTCCGTCTGCCCGGAAGTCCCCAGGGGGTAGGTGTGTTTGCGGCCACTTGGTTTCAGCAGACATTCCCCTCAGTCACCTTCATGTTTCGCCACTTCACTCACAAACTCTTCGCCGCTGTCCGAACCCTGTGTCGTTGTCAATCCCTGCCCTCGATTTCCACAACCCGGAGGACCCTGTTGACATCCGTCTCGTCCTTGTGACAACCCTGCATCAACGCCTTGTATGCTGCAGTGGTGTCTTCACATTTCCTGATTGCGAACAGTTGTCCTGAAATCGAGTCTCTCAACTTCTTTTCTTGTTCAGGAGTGAGCTCACATCCTTTAAAGAGACATGCGACACGATGAAATAATTTCGCCAGATTGTTGTATCTGCATGTCCAATTCCCTTTGGAATCTTTAAAATAATGATGTGAGAGGTAGTCGATCGGATGCGATTCCGACCCGTCTCCCCACTGTTCGACAGGAGATCCGCCTGCTGGTTTCTTGACGATTGTTCCGATGATCGGAAAGAAATTGGCGTCAGTGCCGGAGGAATTTATTTCATCATCTCCGGTTGCCTTCTGCGCTCCGGCATCGGCTGCCACATAATCTTTGAGCGCGGCATAAGTCGCAGCTTCCAAGTCACTCTCACAGGCCAGCTGTCTTTCTTTCATGGCTCGTGCTGCTTTGATGCCAATCGACCTTTCCGTGCTATTCTTATTGGTCGTAATGGGTTGTCCGGAAGTCGTTATTCCGAATCTGCACGACTCCCAGAGTTGGGAGCCGGTGCACGCCACGACCGAAGAGCAGCAGTAGCCACTTATGAGGGTGAGGGATCGGTGCATCTGGTTCTCCGCTCTCTGAAGGCGAATTCTCCAGGCTGCCCAGAATGAAGCAGCTGATACACTCAAATCCCACCCCGACGCATCACTGAAATAAATCTTATTGTCGGGGCTCTTGGACAGCAAGTACTCAAGGTCCCTGTAAGTACGTTTCAGTGATTCGTCATCATGGCCGGTACCACCGGCCAGCGGAAATGCTTTACCTTTGTCTTCATCTTGGTACACTAGGACATCTCCATGGTCGGATTTCGTATGGAGGACACAGGCGAGGAGCCTGTCCGGCTCGGAAACATTCCATATGAGTCTCCAGGTTTCCTGCTCTGCTTTTCGTTCACTATGTCCTTCGGATTTGATGAAGGTACAGGTTGGATCTATCAATCCGTAAGTCACCATGTGGACTGGATCGAGTTTGTGGAGTCTGCTGGCCCATGAGCACCTCAAAAGGAGGCGAATCTTGCAAATGGTGACCAGTTTCTCTACTCTGACCGGATCTTTCCTGAGAGTGTCTCGAGATCCGGGGCTCCAGTGAGCCGTCCATCCCACGGCTTTGTCTTCCGCAACCGTAAGGTAATGTAAAAGCATGGCTCTCACAGTGCTGGTGGTCCCACTCCATGGAGTGCGTGGCATTTCGTTTGCTAGACTCTCGGCAACTTCTTTCAATAGAAAACGTGTCTTGGAGCCTGGCTCTGGGGATACCTGCTTAGCAGATTGTTTTCGCAAGGATGCGAGCTGAGCCTTCTCGGAAGTTGGAGGCTCAACAAATCTAAGGCTTTCTCCCAGGGCTCTGGCAATATGCCGATTCGTCTTAGCAATGACTTTGCCGACTGCCTGCTGGTACCTCCGGGAAGGTCTCACAGGTACGTCGGTACTGCCGGCTTTGGGCCGAGAGTCAGAGCAACCCACATTCCTGAAAACAGGTTTCTCATCAGCGCCTAGAAACTCTTCATCAGCCTCTAAGAAACGAATGCCGCCGCTTTGCCTGTACTCACCAAACGTCGCCCACTCGGGCCTTGCCGTGATGTATCTCAGGGGGACGTTCAACAAGCATTCAAGATCTGAAAACTTGCCCTCGTTGGAAAGAAACTTGTCAACTGCAACAGCAGCATCGTCTTTCTTGCAGAACTTGCCTTCAGAATCCAGATTCGCCAAAAGCATTCCATGGCATCTGACGTTGTCATGCGGCGTGAAAATGTTGCCTCTGTAAAAAGGTTTGGAATTCTTCTGATTCCCTGATGAAGATGCAGCTTCAGTGCCGCCGCTGCTGCACACGAGAGACGCGCCAACGGGGCAAAGAACCACTTTCTCAATTGGCTCCAACACATAAGCGGGCTCAGATGGAGAGCCTGGCGGGCCAAGAGTATCTCGCATGGAGAACGCCGTCTGTTGATGGGTGGCCTTCCGCCCAGTTAACGATGAAGGTGTGAACGCGGCCTCGGGTGTCAATGTCAATGAAGGTTCCTCCTTTGAATTTCCACCTGGCTTTCTCGGTTATATACCAGCCGAGCGGGTTCCACAGGCGTTCGCCCTCGTCACCGTCTACATCGAAGAAAAGGCTGACAGCGGAAAGGTTAAAGTCTGCTCCAACCGACAAGTTCAAGTTGAACAAATTTTCCTTTGCTGCAGTCAAGCTGTCGTCGCAAATCCAACGCGATCCGTTGGGAATAAGGGTCTTGATCTCAGCCTGCCTCTCAGCAAGGTTGTCTGGTGTCATTGTGGCTCCCCAAGCTTCTGAGTAGTCAACTCTTTCAACTCTCGTAGCACCTTCTGTGGAGGAGCGAGGAGCTTTCTGAAATTCCTTTCCAGCCTCAGCAACAGCATCAAGGAAGCTTGCTTCGATAACGACTCCAAACAACAACTCATCGGAACCCCTAGCCCAGGGGTCCGGGAAGTCGAAATCATTGTCGTCATCGTAATCATCCCAGTATGCCCCATGGCGGGGCTGCCAGTCCTCGATTGCGGCCCGGCGGGATGTGGATTCGACTACATCGATGAAATTATCCAAGATGTACTTCTGTTCTTCTTGTAGCTGGTCCAACTCTTCTGCATCAGCGGGATCTCCTTGGTGAATTAGGAAATCAATCCGATCTTGCAGGGCCATTACTCGGCCGTAAATCGCGTCCACTTTGGAACGTCGACGAGGGTCTTCCGAAAGGGCTGAATCAGCTTGTTTTAGCTTATTGTACATAGCCGAACTGAGTCTTGTCACATTGCGCGCGCCCCTCACCTTTGTGAATTTTAGGGCCTTGCGCTGTTTCTTTTGCGACATTGACTGTTTCTGTGGCTTGTTGCGTCCGGCTTTGAACGCCTTTCTCCTCATCGTGGACCTCACTGCACGCTCATTCAGCTGAGTTTGATACGCTTCGCCTAAACCCTTAAAACCTAAACCCTCAAACCCTAAAGCCTGAAGCATCAAGCCGTAAACCCTTCAACCCTAAACTCTCACCGTTCTAAACCCTCAACCCTAAACCCACAAAAATGCCTAAACCCCGGATATAGGGGGCTTAATAATTAGAATAGGGTTTCGGGCTCATTTATATAGTTTAGTTATAATAAGGAACCCCAAAATAGTATTGGTAATTATTTAGGCCCCCTACATTAAACCCTAAACTCTGGAACTGCACAACATACTGTCGACTTACCCGGGGGGCGGCGCACCAGATGGGATTGCGAAGAGCCTGGGCGGAAACCGGCTTGTGGACTAGAGCTTTGGGTTTGGGGTTGGGGTCTTAGAGCTTGCAGGGTTTAGGGTTTGGCTTACTTGGAGGGTCATGGGACTTTGTAAGTAAGGTTTGGGTTATAAGTATAGTTACCCTAGTTATAACCCTTGCCGGTCTCCCCGAACCCCACCTTCTGCAGCGGCGTCTCATCCTTGAAGTGAAACCCTTGCCCCAGAAGCTTTTGTGAAAGCGAGTGGCATGCACTCCGATCACAAGACCGGCATAAATCTGTTGGATAACACCGTTTTTAGCCCTCTGCAAGCGTGGCATAAAGCCACATCTAGGATGCATAGAACCCTATCAATACCCTAGTTGAAACCTAAACCTCAATTCCCAGACGGGTTCACACTTCCATCAAGCCTTACTCGAAACCCTAAACCCAACAGAGGCGGTACAGAACTCGAAAAAATTGAACAAAGTTCTGTAAAATCCTCCGAAACCCTTAAGACCCCCGCAATCCGGTGGACCCTAAACCCTGACTCTACTTAAAGGATCTTGGAACTTAGTAAGTAGGGTTATAACTAAGGTAACTATACTTATAACCCCAACTAAGGGACTTATAACCTTACTTACTAAGTCCCAAGATCCTCCCAGTAAACCCTGAATCAAAGGAAGGCGACTTCGTCCAGCCAGAAATGCTGGAGATCCTTCTGAGCCTGCTGCTATGGCTGTCCTGTGGCCTGCGAAGAAGAGCGGGAAAAAGGCTTAGGGCAGTTTAGGTGTTGTGTTGCAAGTTTAGGGCTTAGGGTTTAAAGCTTAGGGTTTAGGGTTTTAAAGTTTAGGGTTTAGGGTTTAAAGTTTAGGGTTTAGGGTTTTAAAGTTTAGGGTTTAGGGTTTCAAAGTTTAGGGTCTAGGGTTTTAAAGTTTAGGGTTTAGGGTTTCAATTTGTAGGGTTTAGGGTTTCAAAGTTTAGGGTTCAGGGTTTAAGGTTTGAAGTTTAGGGTTTAGGGTTTTGAAGTTTAGGGTTTGGGGTTTCAAAGTTTAGGGTTTAGGGTTTTACAGTTTAGGGTTTAGGGTTTAAAGGGTTTAGGGTTTAAAGCTTAGGGTTTAGGGTTTGAAGTTTAGGGTTTAGGGTTTTAACGTTTAGGATTTTGGGTTTTGGGTTTCGGGCGTAGGGTTCTATGCCCGGAACCTTGAACTCCAATCTCTGAAGCAATGAACCCTGAAACCAAACCGTAAAGCAAAACCTTGGCCCATGAGCATTACGCTAGCGTTGAGGCTTTAGGACTTGAGGCTGACAGTTCAGTGTTTTGGGCTCAGGGTTGTTGTCTCGAAACTGGAATGTTTATCAGGTTTCCTAGAGCTGCTAGATAGACTGTTTCCATCACCTCCTGCACAACTGTGTCCCGCGCCTGTCGTGGACGAGAAGACCTTGGGACCCTGCCGGCAACACCAGCGAGTTCTCGACGTACCACTCCTCGGCACGAGAGATCAGGTCACAGGCTCCGGGGGAGGGGGGGAGATTACACGCTTGGGGTTTAGGGTCTAAGGGTTTAGGGTTTGGGGTTTAGGATTTTGGGTTTGGGGTTTAAGGGTTTGGGAGTTTCTGGAGGGACTTAGCAAGAGACTTCGCATGGTTTCAAGGCATCAGAGAAACCCTGGGTGCGAGATCGTGAGCCACAGATCGGAGTCTCCAGAAACACCCTGAGATCCCAATAAACACCCCTCAATCACGAGGGCCCCTTAAATAATACAGATTCCTGAAAAACTTCACGAAAATGCTGAACCTCAAACCTTCTTTTAACACAGTGCACATGGGCCTCTCTACCTTAAACTTTAACTGTAGACTCTTTCAAAACCCAGAAACTCCTAAACCTCTAAAACTCAAGCCACCCTGGAACCCGAAACCGAACGGGTGCACAAAAAAACACCAAGACTGAACCCAAACCCTGCTCTAGACTCTAGACCGCTGTAAGACCCGGTTTATAAAATCTAAACCGTACTGAGACCAGAACATAAGCATGACTAAACGACAAGACTAACTAACCCCCTAAACCCAAAAACGTAAACCCATAAACACCTGAAACCCTAAACCCCTTAACCCCTAAACCCCTAAACCCCTAGACCCCTAAACCCCTAAACCCCTAAACCCCCTAACCCCCCTAAACCCAAAAACCGAAAAACCCTAAAACCCCTAAACCCCTAAACCCCAAAAACCGAAAAACCCTAAAACCCCTAAACCCCTAAAACCGAAAAACCCCAAAACCCTAAAACCCCTAAACTCCTAGGCCCTAAACCCCTAAACCCCAAACTCTGCTTTGGTTGGCCACGTCTCCGGCAACTCCAAGGCCATGAGGCGAAGCGCCAGCTCCTCGACATAGGCCTGAGTAGGGGTTTAGGGTCTTAGGGGTTT